TAGCCTGCCCTGCTACGCAGCTTCACCTTGATACCTGTGACCTAATGAGAGGAGAACACCAATGACAGCAGCAAACAGAATGGTGCTGAGCAAGAACCACCTCAGGAAGAAGGAGCCAAGTTCTCACTCAGCAGCAGCAAAACTGGAGCCAAATGTCGGCAAGGCATTGCTTTTCTCTGAACGCTACATAAATACGAGGTAGTCACAGGGAGTAGCAGTACTTTGCTTATCTCAAGTGTCTAAAGTGGACTCCTTTGCACTATTCTTCCGTTGGGAATCTTTGCAGCATCTTATTGGCCTGGACTTGCTGACTCTAACGATGCAACGTAGTCTTAACTCCAAGGTAGTCTTAACTCCCATGGCCTTATGTTGCAACGTGGAGGATTTAAAGATAGTGCAAGGACTATGAGCTACACCCAACCAAAGTGAAGATCTGTGATGTTCTGGTGTTCTTGGAAGGTGGCCTCCAGAAAAGTCTAAATCCAACACTGTGGCGGCTTATGGCGTGAAGGCTGCCATAAACAGATTTGCCCTGCACACTTCCCACCACATGTCAGCAGAGTTGAAACACATTCAGCAGCAAAGCATGAGGAAATGGCCCTGAGTCTTGATTAATGAGCAACACATGATTGTAGTAGGCAGCTTTATTGCCTGTTATGAAGCTTAACGGTTGCTATATACAAAGACTGCTTACATCCTCTCAACAGACCAAAACTGAAACACTCTCAGTCACTCAGATAATGCAATGTGCATGCCCACGATGTCACTGTCATCTTTGCACCTTTGTAAACAACCCTGCTACACGGCCAGAGCTTCGTGTTACATAAGGAAACTCACAGACATTTTTCTGAAAACGAATGACCAATATCCCCAACACCCCCCTCTCAGTCTTTTCAGAACAACTATTTACAGAGCATAAACAGAGTGCTTACTTAGTATGGTTCTCCAAGCCTAAAAGTTCAACCATCATTTTACATTTCAGGAATGTCAAAGGTTTCGTCCTTGCATCAGCAACATTCTGGTTCCGTTCACAGTACACTGGCATAATGACATTCTGTGCCACATTACATTCTGATATTTAATTTTGACATGTTTTGATCTTCCTTTAAAATGATCAGATTTAGCAAAAGCTATGGTATACATGCCTGATTATCAATAGAGACCTTTACAGGAGATTCACCTTTCATTCCCATGTCAATCAGTAACTGTTTAAAATAGACCAGTTCACTGCACAACTCACTCAGAGAACAGTACTTGGCTTCAGTGGAGGATACACTTGCAAGACCCTGTTTTTTGTGATTTCCATCCTATCGGGGAACCTCCAAACTGTATTACTAGTCCAGTTACAGGACGCGGGTGGTGCTGTGGTTTAAACCACTGAGCCTAGGGCTTGCCGATCAGAAGGTCGGTGGTTCGAATCCCAGCAACGGGGTGATCTCTCGTTGCTCGGTCCCAGCTCCTGCCAACCTAGCAGTTCGAAAGCACGTCAAAGTGCAAGTAGATAAATAGGTACCGCTCCGGAGGGAAGGCAAACGCCGTTTCCGTGCGCTGCTCTGGTTTTACCAGAAGCAGCTTAGTCATGCTGGCCACATAACCCGGGGGGGAAACTGTCTGTGGACAAACGTAGGCTCCCTCGGCCAGTAAAGCGAGATGAGCGCCACAACCCCAGAGTCGTTTGCAACTGGACTTAACTGTCAGGGGTCCTTTGTGTGTTTCAGGTACCCAAGAACATGCTTAACAGCTTGCCTTCCCATTTTGGTTGGGTTAGCTACCATCCTACTGAAGACACCTACTGCATAGCAGATGTCAGGTCTGCTCCACTGAGATAGATACAACAAACTACCTATTGCTGAATTACAGAGATCTGGTTGCTCATACTTTGAGTTCTCCTCAGACTATAACCCTTTGAGGAAACCAGCCTCCACTGGAGTCCTTGCTCCTTTGCAGTTCTTCATGTTAAATCTCTCTAGTAACTGAACAATTTCACCCTTCTGGCTGAGAAGAAAGCTTTCATCATTGGTTCTGCGCACTTATACCCCAAGATAGGTTTGCACACTTCCTAGATCTTTCACTTTGAATTTCAGAGCTAGCTGAGTGGCAAAGCCTTTGAACAACGTATAACATATCGTCCACAAATGATAAACAACATTCCTGTTTGTCTTCTGACCCCTTGATATACATGCAATTGTCTGCCACACTTCTGTTGAACCCAAGAGATTGCAAAGTACTGTCCAGGTATTCATTCCAGTTTCTAGCTGACTGGCGCAGACCATAAATAGCGTTGTGTAATTTGTACAATTTGCCTGGATTTCCAATCTCAAATCCTGGTGCTTGATCCATGTAGATGAACTCCCTCTCTGTCTCAATTGTACCACCTTGTGGTAGAACATGTGAAGCATGGCATGGGGAACCCCTGTGTACGCTGACTCTTAAAGTCTCCTTCCCTTGGCTCACAGGTTACCTGCTGAAATCAGAGCTTTTACAAGCAAATCCATTACCATCCACCAATTTAAGGCACTTGGCTCAGTGACACTCTGTTGGCTGTATATGAAGGTACACCTTTCAAAGGTTAGAAGATTCTGACAGTTGGGTTTCTTTCAGTCTAATCCAATTTGTGGCATAATTCCTAAGATGTCCTCAAGCCCACAGCGAATTCCCCTTTTCACCATTCTCAAGGTCCAGTCTTGCCACCATTGTCTTCAGACTCAATATCCCTAGGGGAAAGTGTAGAACACGCTACATTAAGATTCCTTGTAGAAGAGACCCTGCATTGTTTGTCATTGGCAAGGTACGTACATGCAGAAAGGCTTCGACAGCATCCGTATCAAGGCAGATAAAGCCATGCATTCTAGAAGTCCACAAGGCACTCCGGGGAGGCAGCTTTCTGGGCCTTGCAATCCTGGATTCAAACAACCATCATTTCGGTATCGCAGAATACCTTTGCCTCAGTAGAGGCGGCATTTGGGTGTGTGGTACTATCAGCTACCAACTTTGTTGGTATTTGCCAACAAAGGTCCGTATAGTTAAAGCCATGGTTTTCCCAGTCGTGATGTATGGAAGTGACAGCTGGACCATAAAGAAGGCTGAACGCCGAAGAATGGATGCTTTTGAATTATGGTGCTGGAGGAGACTCTTGAGAGTCCCATGGACTGCAAGAAGATCCAACCTCTCCATTCTGAAGGAAATCAGCCCTGAGTGCTCACTGGAAGGACAGATCCTGAAGCTGAGGCTCCAAGACTTTGGCCACCTCATGAGAAGAGAAGACTCCCTGGAGAAGACACTGATGCTGGGAAAGATGGAGGGCACAAGGAGAAGGGGGCGACAGAGGACGAGATGGTGGGACAGTGTTCTCGAAGCTACCAGCATGAGTTTGACCAAACTGCGGGAGGCAGTGGAAAACAGGAGTGCCTGGCGTGCTCTGGTCCAGGGGGTCACGAAGAGTCGGACACGACTAAACGACTAAACAACAACAACAAACTATCAGCTACTCTACATTAAATTTATTAGCTCAGTTTGGGAAGGCTTAATAGAAAAACTTAATTGACTGAACTCTCTTTTTAAATGCAAACTGTCACCTCTTCTTGGGCGGAGGTGACTTGCTTTGGTATGGTCCACCTCTTGGAGTGGCACCTGAGACCATCTGGAGAACAGGCAACTGTGCACTACCCTCACCTGTGATTTGTCCTTCTCCAGTTCTCTCAAGTGCTACTCTAACCCTCCTATTAGAAGCTGCCTTATACTGTCAGATCATTGGTAGCTGCACCACAGCACTGTGTCTTTGGGGCAAAAAAAAAACCTTGTTAAGAGTGGTTATTCCTCAGACTGGCTCTTCTCATTCAGGACAGAGCAAGGAGGAACCCTAAGGAGGGAGGAGAGCCCATCTTCAAGTTCTGCTGTCTTCTTCCCAATGTCTGTCTTCATTTTTAAAATTTATGCTTATTCGGGAAACTAATGGTTAACAAACTAGGGTTCTTTGAGCTTTTGGAAAGAGCTCCCTCTGGGAGGCTGCAGAAAGGGGCAATATAGTGTTCCTAGAGGCAATCTCCAAACAATTTCTGTTAGGGAAATCAACTGCACTCCTGGCCTCGGAGGCGTTTAACCTCATCTTTTGGCGCGGCACCTGAGAGGACGTCAACTCACAGGTGAGTACACACAGTTGGCCATCCCTTGACATTTACTGCTGGGCTGGGGAGTTCTATATATATAGCATTACAAAGAGACTCCCTTTTCCAATTTACGCCTTGAGACAAACTATTTGCTCATATGAAACAACTCTACAGCACCAGCTTTGAGCTGAAGAGAGAACTGAGAATACTTTAAATATATCTATTATACTTTGTAAGACGATGGTTAAACAACTCTCCGCTCCCATACTCCTGCCCCAGTGGGTATTATTTCAGTCATCCTGGATAGGTTGTACACAGAAAAAAATGATGCAAGAATCACAATATTCATTATCTGCCCAAAATTAAGAGGAGCCAAAAATTTCACAGAGATCCAGGTTTTAGAAATGCCAAATGACTGCTGTTGCTGGGCTGGTGGTACCTGGAATCTGGACCACTTTCCCGTGCCTGCAAGCCCCCTGCCTCCTTATTTTGGGCTGGTTTGCCGGTTTAGTGGTGACGCACCTCTTGCTCCTTGCAAAGTTTTCCTTCCTTCAGGGAGCTGGGAATGTGAGCAGCCGCCGCTGTGCATTACCTTCTCGGTGTCCTGAATGGAAAAGGCATTTTGCGCTGGGCAGGGCAAAGGACCAGGAGGCTTCTCAGTGGCTTCTCCAGGAAACTCTCGGGTGAGGAACACGCCAGGCACAGCAGCAGTCTATCTGGGGATCCTATCTGGCATGATGATTAATCCAGACTTGGCAGGGCTAATTCCTTCCTTGGAAACATGCTTAGTTTTGGGGAGGGGGGGAGGGGGAGGGCAAAAAGGCAATGCTTGGTCATTGTGTTCTGTTCTAACCCTCCCTCCCCTTCTCCCTCCTTTTTCACATTCATTTCTAGGTCTGAAGAAAACCCTTCTCCCAAGCCTTGGACTCCACCGCCTGAATTTTATTTTAATTCCCCTCCAAATTCTCAGCTAAAGGAATGTTTACAGAGCAGACTGAACGGACTCCCGGAGCAGCCAATGTCTTACCATTATTAATTTTTGATCTATATAGTATTATTATAAAAAAAGACTCCTTTCTTAAAGGAAAATATTTAATATTTATTCTTGCTGCTATATTTTTTTATTTTTGCATCAAGAGCAACAGACTGACTCAGAATCCTAGGAAGCGATCGCTGGATTGGGAAGTCTTTGAAAGTCAGAGCTGGGTTTTGGAGAGGTTTGTTTGGGTTTTCTCTTGAAAGCGGGGGAAAGAAGGACGGAGGCTGATTTGGGGGGGGGGAGGCTGCCCTAGGATTGTCTAATCTGGAGAAAAGGCAGGTCCTTTTCCCACACAAGTGCCAGGAAGGAAGCAAGGATTTTTTTTCATGTTCCTATTTTTTAATATGTTTTTAAACTGTTGCCCTTTTTAAACTGGTTTCCCTTCCGTTTTGTGGGCTCTTCGCCTCAGCCCACGGTGACTCTCCTCTCAGTCTGAAGGACAAAACTGCCCTTTCATTCAACCACCGGAGAGGTGCAGAAAAAAAAACGACCCCCCCCCAAACAGGAAGCTGTGATTGATTGGATTTGAGTGATGCCACACCTTTCAACTACAAAAGAATCCACAAGGCACCTTTCATTGAAAAAGGAAAAAGGGAAAAAAATTAAGAAAGCACAATGTGCATCTGTTGGCTTGATGTAGTTGTAAAAAAAAACCAAGGAGAAGATATGCTAAGGGGGACCCAGGTGAGATACTCACCTGTAAAAGTACCTGGCAGGACAGGTTCCAGGTGTCCCTCTTATTTTGCCAGTAGTAGTTCCTGAAGAAGCATTTTTCAACTGGAGGAAATGCTATGGTCTTGCCACTCTTATCACCATACAGGGACAGCATTTATACAAGGCAAGTAGCATGTGGGAGACTAACAGATTTCTCCCTTTGTAGTGGAAGTTCCCTGGTGGGTTGGTTTTAATCAGAGACTGGGAACCTCTGGTCCCCAGGCTGGGTGTGGCCCCTGGAGGCTTCCCAGGGCCACACTTACCTGGCCCCACCCTCTCTCCCTCCCGTTCCATGGTGGCCGTAGGAGGGAGGGGGGGAAAGCAGCAAACAGCAGGTCCCAGGGGCCTAATCTGGATCAGGACCCAGGTGGCCGTTTAACCCTTCAGTGTGGTCCTGAGCTGAATTGTGGCCGCCCTGCTGCCCATCCACAGATCCTCAAAAGCTCATTTAGGTCTCTAGCCCCACCTACTGCTGGAATATGGCCTGCAAAGATTCCCTATCACTCTTCTGAATGATTCGGGAGGAGAACTCAACCAGACTCATAGGGGACACCATTGTCCTTCATTGGGCAGATTCTGTTTAAGAGGACTTTGTGTCCTTGGGGTGCGTTGCTTTCGAAGGCTCCCCACCACCACTCCCTCCACAGGAACAACCCCTCTTGGCCACCACAGAGGCCTCCTGGTCATGGAGATGCGCCTGGACCAAAAGCAACGTGGAATATAAAAGCGCACTCTGGCAAGAGAGAAGTCATCATTTTTGGCTATCAAGTCCAAACGGAATCCATTGTGCTTTACCTGACCAATTGGATGAACGTCGCGATTGCTTATTTTGCTTTCTGAATCTTTTTTAACACATTTTGAGAGATGAACTTCTTGTTCTGTTACCCCACAAATGGCAAATTTGAAGCTTCGTATAAAGAAAAGTTGAACATTTCCCCCCCCCCAATAATGGTGAGTATTTTTTATACAAAAAGGATGAAGTGAGTGGAATCATGCTTTGGTAGCAACTTGGTCAGTTTACTACAGCTGCGGCAACCTTTTCATTCCATTAAAAAAAAGATTAAGACTGCAATCCTAGACTTGCTTACCTGGGAGTAAAACCCATTGAAATCAATGGCTTTTACTTCTGAGTAGTCGTGTAGGATTGCAGTTACATTTTCAGCCTCTGATCCTAATGTCACAGATTTTAACAGAAATATTTTGGGATGCATAGCAGTTCTTGTTCCTTTTTAAACTGTTCCCCTCCCCCCGCCCCATGTTTTCTTTTTTAATTTAAAAACACAATAAATACTGTGTACAAAAGAAGTCTGCTGGAGATGCTTTATAAACATATTTAAGTTGTATATACTGTATATTTATAAGTGCCATGTTTATATATCCTCCCCCACCCTCTGTGACTTTTTTTATGTATGGTCCTTTCTCTCAAAAGAAAGTTATATAAAATATCTATTTTGCTCAGTGAAACCGAATCTGCCTGAAGCTGTTTTCTTCCACTGTTTTGCTTCATTTCTACACCACACTTCTACACAACCACCACGTCCAGGTGGAACTTTTAGGGTGGCTGTGATGGGGACAAGCAGCCGAGCCTGTGCCCAATGGTGTCCCAATTTACTGAACTGGGCAGTGGACTAGCTCAAGAAATTTTGCCGCCCAAAGCACAACCGCAATCTGAGAGGTGCAACCCAGGCTCCTCACATCATCACCACAGAGTTTGTGGTCTTAGCATTCATTGACATTGCCAAGGATTCCAGATGTGGCCTCCCAGTTTGCATAAGGCTGTTTAAGGGACATCCCTAAAAATGCTGCCACCCCAAGTGGCTGAATACATTGTTTGAGATAGGCCTGCCCTCAAGGGATACTTCCATGTCCAGTCAGGTCCCACCACACTGAAAAAGAGGCCACAGGTAGAAAGCCACCAAGGTGGTTGGACTTCCATGACTGCCACCATTCCAAGCCTGGGGCCATGATGGGTGGGCTTGATGGGAGTTGGAGTCCAGTAATATCTGGATATGAGGCTCCAAGACTTTGGCCACCTCATAAGAGAAGACTCCCTGGAGAAGACCCTGATGTTGGGAAAGATGGAGGGCACAAGGAGAAGGGGACGACAGAGGATGAGATGGTTGGACAGTGTTCTCGAAGCTACAAACATGAGTCTGACCAAACTGTGGGAGGCAGTGGAAGACAGGAGTGCCTGGCGTGCTCTGGTCCAGGGGGTCACGAAGAGTTGGACATGACTAAACAACAACAATAATATCTGGAGGGCCACAGGTTCCCCACCCCCTAACGTAGGGGGAGCCCTTGTGAGGAGCAGAAGCAGAGGTCTCACACTCAAAGAAACCAAGCACAATATTTGTGAGAGACAGGCAGTGGCATCATCAAACAGGAATCCCTTTCCCTGAACCAGCCCACCCAAAGTTGCACAAACAATTTAACAAAGCTAATAAACAGCCCTGTTTAGGGAAGCTTTTAATGTTTAATAGGTTATTGTATTTTAGTGTTTTGTTGGAAGCCGCCCAGAGTGGCTGGGGAAACCCAGCCAGATGGGCAGGTATAAATATATTATTATTATTATTATTATTATTATTATTAAGCCCCCAACTATTTGCAAAACCTTGCACAATGTTTCACGCAGAAGGGACATTCCAAGGGACCCAGTTCAAGGGACACCTCTTGCGAGTTAAAGGATCTGGGACGTTCCTAACTTCCATCCACTTCCTGACACTTGATAACCACACATGGCTTTTCGTTCTTCGGTGGAAAGGGCAAATTATTTTTCTTCCTGCTGACAGTCAGTTTGTCCACTATTGTAGTAAGGGGGGGGGCTCTTCACAGTAGGGATGGGAGAACATTTGACTGTACACAGCCAGGTACCCCTGAATAGAGGCCCCTTGGAGATGAATTGGCTCCCTGCTTGGCCAAAGCTTTGTCCCCTTACGCCCGCCCCCAGGAGCAGAGCTCCCTGAACTAACAGAGAACTAACAGAGGAAAGTGTTAATGGGGAAACCATAAGGCAGGCAAGTGAGAAAGGCGCTGACCTACCAGCCCTGGGGCAGCTGTTTACAAGCAGCTGTCAACACATGGCTGAGAAATGAGTGTGCCCACTCAGGGTGCGGGTCATGGCTGTCAAGGCTTTGAGATGGGCATGCTGGGGAGTCAGGAAGCTGGCGCTCCCATGAAAGGAATGTTTTAAAAAAATAAAATATATAGTCGCTGGTTTAGTAAAAGCTTTTCTCCCCCAGTGATTGGGTTTAAATATAGCATCACATGCTGGTAAAAAAGGGGGGGCAGTCACCACCCTCTCTCCATCAGATAGAATTAGAGCAATCAGAAATGACACCTGGTTGCGTTCCATTTAGCATCAAGGAAGGACACATCTAACCTGCAAAAACCATGCCTAGATATCGAGCCAAAGATCCAAATACAGTGGTACCTCGGGTTACAGACGCTTCAGGTTACAGATGCTTTAGAAATAGTACCTCGGGTTAAGAACTTTGCTTCAGGATGAGAACAGAAATCACGCGGCGGCAGCAGGAGGCCCCATTAGCTAAAGTGGTGCTTCAGGTTAAGAACAGTTTCAGGTTAAGAACAGACCTCCGGAACGAATTAAGTACTTAACCCGAGGTACCACTGTATTGCGGAAAAAGTGCACGGGACACACTGAAAGGATGAGTTGCACATTTATCACTTGGTGCTGCAATGAGCCAACACTGATTGAACTTTTGAATCAGTCAAGCACAGGACATTTTGGTGGAGTCAGTTCACAAGTACAGCTTCAGCTCAGCAAGCAACTTGCCTGCATTCAATTTTCCGGAACTGAACCATACCTCAAGTGAAGTAAGTCTGATTTCTGACAACGTTACCAAGGGCCCATCTTAATAAAGCTGATTTATTTAATAAATCGGCATTCCCGTGGCCCGTCTTAATATACACACACTTTGCATTCACCCAGAGAGACCCTGCAGATCATTCCAGCAGTGCCCCCCAGTGTCTCAACAATGAATCAAGTCATTCTATCACAAGTTCCAAACTGAGCACAATTCTGTTCCCTGATATAAATTGCTGCTTTCGATTCACTGCTCTCCCTGATATCCCTTGATGTCAGCCCTGTTTAGGGAAGTTTTTAATGTTTGAAGTTTTATTCTGTTAACAGTCCTCTGTTGGGAGCTGCCCTGAGTAGGGAAACCCAGCCAGATGGGGGGGGTATAAATAATAAAAATGATAATGATGTCCAGGCTTAGAAAGCCTATCTAGCTACATTTCAGCAAAGAAAGACTACCACCAACCTGCTTCCAAAAACAGCAAGTTTCTAGATTTTATTGTTGCATGATAGGGGAGAAAGTATAGGGAGGTCTGTACAAAGAAGCCCAGAACAGAGAAGGTGGTCAAAACTGAAGCGGCATTCAAATGTCCTGAAGAAGCTCCCATGGCAATGCAATCCCTGTGGACTTCCAGACATTGCTGGACTACAAATCCCATCTTCCCGGTCCATTGACTAGGGTGAAGGAAGCCAAGGTCCAACAACACATGGAAGGCGGCCAGCCCATTCCTAATCTGTTCGCTTTCTCTTGACACCAAACTAATTATAATTTGTTTCTTAGGAATAATTTGTACAGATTTGCATATCATTAAAATATTTCTATCCCACCTTTTGTGCCAAAGCACTTGAAGGCAACTTACAGCAAAGGATCACATTTAAAAAACAAACAAAAACCATTAAATCTGCAACATCAGTAAACAAACATCGTTTTAAAAAATTAAGACACAGCCAGTAGCAAGAAACTACAAATGCCCTCTGATATAGTCTGCAGCCAGAAAACCTTTGGAAAAGGGGGACACACACACACACACACACACACACACACCACCCCTGAAAGGAGCGCCAGAGCCTGAGTGCTCTGGTGGGAAAGGACAGTTGGGGTGGGGGCCCACATGTACAGGCCCCTCCATAGCTGAAACGGAGAGGGGAGTCGTCCCTTCAAATACACTAAGGACTTTATAAACGCCAAAAGGGGGGCCCTTAAAGCAATTGGAAGCCAAAAAAATGTTTCAGGATTCGGATCATAAGCCCTTCTGGCAACAGCGCCAAGTTGCATTTTCTAACGACAGCAGTTTCCCAAAATCTTGAAAGGGGGCACTATACTTACCAAGGGTTGAGGTCTCTCCACCCCCAATATTCTGCTGAAGAAGAGACCTTTGTAACTCAAAGACCTGCATGCAAGTTGTTCTTCTGTAATCCCTCGTAGCCGAGAAAGATTGTCTTCCATGAACACGGTTTTATCAGTGAGTCCGTAAGTGACTGTGGAGGCCAATTCTGGATCCACATATCCTTCCACAGTGGGGACATAGATTTCCGGGCGGGAGTTGATCACAGTGTGGATTTGCCAAGTGTGCCTTCCTCTTAGCATGTTTCTCCCTTGCGTCCTGAGTTTGTCCTGAGTTTGAGTGTCTTCAAAGCCCATGACGCCTTTGGTAATGGCTGTTCTCCAACTGGAGCACTCGCAGGCCAGTGTTTCCCAGTTGTCAGTGTTTATACTACATTTTTTAAGATTTGCCTTGAGACAGTCTTTAAACCTCTTTTATTGACCACCAGCATCATGCTTTCCATTTTTAAGTTCGGAATAGAGGAGTTGCTTTGGAAGACTATAATCAGGCATCCGCACAACATGACCAGTCCAGCAAAGTTGATGTTGAAGAATCATTGCTTCAACATTGCTTAATCCATCTAACACAACAGATGTTGCTTCCTCAAACACAAAGCGTCTTACACGTGCACACCTTTAAATATGGCATAAACAGAACTGCATTGTTCAAAAATTTAAAGGAAAATATATACTAAAACAGGTACGCGGATGGCGCTGTGGGTAAAAGCCTCAGCACCTAGGGCTTGCCGATCGAAAGGTCGGCGGTTCGAATCCCCGCGGCGGGGTGCGCTCCCGTTGCTCGGTCCCAGCGCCTGCCAACCTAGCAGTTCGAAAGCACTCCCGGGTGCAAGTAGATAAATAGGGACCGCTTACTGGCGGGAAGGTAAACGGCGTTTCCGTGTGCTGTGCTGGCTCGCCACATGCAGCTTTGTCACGCTGGCCACGTGACCCGGAAAGTGTCTCCAGACAGCGCTGGCCCCCGGCCTCTTAAGTGAGATGGGCGCACAACCCTTGAGTCTGTCAAGACTGGCCCGTACGGGCAGGGGTACCTTTACCTTTTTATATACTAAAACATACAATTGGTCCAGCTATTCTGTAAGAACCAATCATCAGGCATTCTGTAAGACAATCAGGCATCCGCACATGACCAGTCCAACGAAGTTAGTGTTGAAGAATCACCACTTCAACACTGATGATCTCCTTGATACAGAGTTTTGTGAAACCCTAAAGTCTGCATTTGCCTACAACACTGGTGATCTTTGCTTCTTCCAGTACACTGGTATTAGTTTGCCTGTCATCCCAAGTGATGTGTAAGATTTTTCGGAGATCCTGTTGATGGAATCTTTCGAGGAGTTGGAGATGGCGTTTATAAGTGGCCCATGTTTCCCAAGCGTACAGTAAGGTTGGTGGTACAACAGCTTTGTAAAGAAGCATTTTGGTTTCCCTGTGAATGTCCCGGTCCTCAAACACTCTGCACTTGAATTGGGAGAAAGCCAAACTCACAGAGCTCAGGCGATGCTGGATTTCGGCATGCAACTTATAGCAGCCACTTGGCATTGCCTGCCTCTCTCTTCTCCCTGCCTTTCCACCTTAAAACAACTCTTCCCAGCCCTTCCCAAGTCCCTCCTCCCCTTGCAGTGGATTAGCTGTCTGGCCTTGATAACAGCTGCTGGGAGTGTGACTCTCTGCTGAAGTTGGTGGGTGTCCCTGATATTAATATAGATGCACACACACAGAGAGAGAGGCACGCCCTGTAAACAGCTTTGGCTGCCCTGGAGGAGAGTCAGAACGGCTTCAAGATGGGAGGCCAAACTTCTCAGCTCTTCACCGTCCCTGAGCAGCAGGAGATCATGAAAGAAACTGGCTGTACGGGAAAACTTTATAAGAGAGAACGGTTTGCTTTCCTTCTTTCCATGAATAGAGGGGGGGGGAATGGGGGAGGAGGGAGTTAGCAACAGAGCTCGGAATTGTTTTAAACCCCCAAACCCAAAATGAGAAGCCCACCTGCCTTGCGGAGCATTTGCTCTCATCTTGCCAACCCAACAGACCAGCCTTAGATCTCTGGAGCTGTCCCAGGAGGCGACTAGGCTTTGCTGGGAAGAGAGAAGTCCTGGCTGCTCCAGACTTACGCAAGGGGTGGGAATCATGGCCAGTGGGTTTGGGCAATCTCATAGGAGGGAAAGATCCAGCACTTGTGGAGAAGAGCCTGGTGACCAGAGAGAATCAGAATCGGGACTTCATAGCTGAAGCACTGCTCAGTTTGGGAGCTGGGAGGAAAGGGCTGTCAAGACTCCTGAGATCCAGATCAAAGCACAGGGCAGGGGCAGGGAGCAATTTAAGAGGAGGTGAAATGGGGGCAGTGGCTGTGGCTCTCTGCAGCTGCCATGATGCCAACGCACCCCTCTCACCTTGAGCCAGAGAGGGAGCAGGCACTGGAAGAAGAGGCTAATCCGGATCTTCGGGTTCCAGCGTTCTGGGCCTGTCCCGTTCCAGCCTCACCCCAGCGGGGCCACCCGCCTACTGTCCCCAGCTCAGGGCACAGAGCAGAGGTGAGGTGACTAACGGAGATCAGAGACCCACAAAGTCTGTTCAAGTACAGCGCATCAGCTAGTATTGTGCAAGTGCAGAACTTCTGGACAATTTGCAGCTGTGGAAGAAATTGTTTTTTTCTTGTTCTGATGAGTCAGCCAAAAGCAGAGACTTGGGACACGGGAATCTTTCATCTGGGGTGTGGGGTGCGGTTAGTTTGGGAGAGATCATCATGCTCCTGGGGTGGAATGTGATCCTCCCCCCTGCCCCTTTAAAGAGTTATTTTACCAAGTTTTGGGTGAAAAATGAACTGTTGCTTTTGAGCTTGGCATGGTGCCCCACCCAAAGCCTTGCATCTTATCTGGCAGCTGGCTTCCTATTGTTTGCGAAATCTCCAGAGGAGGAAAGGGAGGGGAGGGGGCTGACTTTGAGATTTCCGTTCAACAAGTGGTGGGGGGGGGAATATTAAATCCCCTCAGTAGGGGGCAGAAGGTTTCAATGCTTGTGCTTTAAACCCAATGTTGTCTTTTATTATGCTGGGCTTGTCACTTTTCCCTGGAGAGAAGATGCAGCACATTTCAAAGCAACAAGTGCTGTGGCGGGAATAATAGTCACAGTGGCACCCTCCATTTCCCATCAGCCCCAGTTAGCATGGATAATGGGAGGTTGGCGGTGGGGGGAAAAGACACCAGACTGACAACCTTTGCTCTATACCTTTTCCCATTTCATCTGGTACTTGGAATTTTAGTTGCTGCTAAAATTCATTTATAGGGACGCGGGTGGCGCTGCAGTCTAAACCACTGAACCTCTTTGGCTTGCCAATCAGGTCGGCGGTTTGAATCCCATGACACGGTGAGCTCCCATTGCTTGGTCCCAGCTCCTGTCAACCTAGCAGTTTGAAAGCACACCAGTGCAAGTAGATAAATAGGTACCGCTCCAGCGGGAAGGTAAACAGTGTTTCTGTGCACTGCTCTAGTTTTGCCAGAAGCGGCTTATTCCAGCAAACCAGATGAAGCTGATCACCAGCCCTCCCTCAGGCCTGCAACCTTCTTTCCCCCAGCAACCACGTTGCATGGTTCCCATGTGGACCAGGCTGCCCTGAATCTGGACACTCTGTTCCCATTTCCTTGCAGTGCAGGCGTGCTCAAGCCTGCTCTCCAAGTTTCAAACAGTTCGCCTTTAGATTCAGGGGAATGTTAATTGCATCTGGCTTCTTCCTTTTTTTAAACGCATTCGTTTCAAGGTCATTATATCCGCTGCTCATGGCACTTTCTTGGCTAATCATTAAACCTCTCCTTTCCTCTTGCACCCAGTCTCGGAAGCTAATGTTGTGCGCCTTTACCAGCGGTTCCAGGCCTTGGACAAGGATGAAAAAGGCTTCCTCAGGTAAGGATGAGGGAAGGGAAGGGAAGGGAAAGAGGATGGCAATCTGAGAACAAGGAAGGAACTCAGAGGCCTCCGTCTGAAGACATTGCCCCACAACCACCACCCCACTGACCTTTACACAGTAGTGATTCAGGCAACTCTGTTAAGGTTTGTGCTTTTCCTATCCTGCCATGTTATATTCACACTTGTGGACATGATATAGCCAGGGGAACAGGGAAGACACAATTCACATGAGAACTTTTTTGTTCTTAAATTAAAAATAAGTAAATATGAACTAATGCTCTTCCTCAAGCGCTATTTCTCCATTTTCTTCTTCCGAGACTGGTAAAAGGTTTTAAAGCTTGATTCAAGAGCTGTCTACAAATACAGTACTAAATACGCCAGAGCAAATTGGTCAAAAAATGATGACACATTAAAGGTGAGCGAAGTGGCAATAGGTTCACCTGTCCAATGTGACAGAGCACACGTCAGAAATATACCGCTCTAGAATTCTGTGATTCCAAGAGTCAGCAGAGTAGAATTAAGAACAATTCACACCTGCAGTGAACAGCAGTTCTACTCTGTTCTGGGGGTCTTTTTAAGTTCGTTTTTCTGCAGGCAGAAGACCCGCAAGAGGGGAAAATGCAGCGGAGACAGGGATTTTCATAACAATGTCACGCTGATGCCCCATCAAAAGTTAGTAAACACAGGAAGGATATCCCATAGTAAATGCTTACAGAAGCACCTTAGCCACTGCTTTTGACCACCAAATTCCTGCTCATTTGTCAACACCTGATGTATTTCAGTTTCACAGTGCTTCACCCAGCTGACATAGGAAGTCAGGGTGCCCTGGCAGAAACAACTACATTATCACCGCAGCTTTGTGCACAACACCTAGTGCATGGGTGAAAGATTTAGGGATGCAGGAGTTGAGGCCGTAGCAAGGCCCCTGAGCTCCCAGTACGTTTAGTAGGCTGGTCTCTGCTACTAGCAGCAGTGCAGAAACTTTTATTGTTGTCCACTTCTCAAGTTCTTAAGCGGATTGTAGCAGGAAGAAAGGCAATGTGGATTCAAAATATTCACTGCCTGGACACTGAGGTCCAACTCCAAGGGCCTTCTGGCAGTTCCCTTGCTGCGAGAAGCCAAGTTACAGGGAACCAGGCAGAGGGCCTTTTCGGTGGTGGCACCTGCTCTGTGGAACGCCCTCCCACCAGATGTCAAGGAAATAACGAACTACCAGACTTTTAGAAGACATCTGAAGGCAGCCCTGTTTAGGAAAGCTTTTTAACAGACCACTGTATTTTAATGCTTTGTTGGAGTATAAATTATTATTATTATTATTATTATTATTATTATTATTATTATTATTATTATTATTATCACCATCATCATCACTGCAGGCCAGTCAAAGGAGGCGGGTGTGGGGTTAACAATTACACAGACGGCGCCTGAGCCGAACGGAACGAGTCGCCATGTCTCACACAATTTTCCTTTTTCAACCTACCAAACAATTACACAGACTTCGCACCAGGAAGACAAAGAAACCTTGGGGGTTTTTTTTCTGACTATGACCAGAATTGATTCCCTTTATGTGTTTTACCCCTGCTCGTTTTGGTCATCAGCCACTTCAGATATTCACTGTGAACAGGAAAGCTGGGTGGAATAGAATAAAATAAAATAAAAACCTAACATAGGCCCCTTTGAATTGTGGGGGGTTGGGCTAGATACCCCTTGGGGATCACCTTCCAATTCTGTTGCTAAAACTTATACGTTTTGTTATAGCTATGTTTTCTCCCTCCGCAGCAAAGATGACTTCGAAGGGATCGGAGAACTAGCAGTGAACCCCATCGGCGACCGGATCATTGATGCCTTCTTCCCAGATGGGTGTGTCTGTGTGTGTGTTGTGTGTAGGGAAGTCTCTGGCCCTGCCCAGTGCCATAAAAAAACAGAAACCGCCCCTTGCCCTCGCTTCAGCATCCTCTCCTCTTCTAACAATACAGGGAATTAGACCTTAGTGCACAAGAATGATTCTAGAGTCAATTCTATGATTCAGGGCTCTTCTCCTGCCTGCTAGTGCTTGGTTCTAGTCTGTTATGTTCTTCCACAGACGCATTTGCTCTTGGCGAACATCCACAAGGAACATCTCCCAGCCCCAATTCCCAAGTCTCAGGAAAGGGCCTGAGCTCATCCTGTGTCTGCCTGAGAGCCACACAGAGTTCCTGCGTTGTCGCTGAGACCCAGCCAGGCAGGAGTGGCCTCTTGCAGGCAGTTCCCCAAAGTCCACACAAAGAGAAATCACAGGACTGAGAGGTGTGAGGCAGACACTGGCCTTGTCCAATGTAATCAAGGCCTGCCTCTTTTGCAGCCCTGATGTTGTTGTTTAGTCATCTCCGCCTCTTCGTGACCCCCTGGACCAGAGCACGCCAGGCCCTCCTGTCTTCCACTGCCTCCCGCAGTTTGGTCAAACTCATACTGGTAGCTTCGAGAACACTATCCAACCATCTCGTCCTCTGTCGTCCCCTTCTCCTTGTGCCCTCCATCTTTCCCAACATCAGGGTCTTTTCCAGGGAGTCTTCTCTTCTCATGAGGTGGCCAAAGTATTGGAGCCTCAGCTTCAGGATCTGTCCTTCCAGTGAGCACTCAGGGCTGATTTCCTTCAGAATGGAGAGGTTTGGTCTTCTTGCAGTCCATGGGACTCTCCAGCACCATAATTCAATGCATAATTAAGCAACACCTTCAGGCTGATCAGGCTTCCTCGAGCAATGGCATGCTAAAGAGAGGGAAGGAAGTAGCTCAGGAACAGAGCACCTGCTTTGCATGCAGAAGGTCTCAGATTCAAACTCCAAGCATCTCCAGTGAAGGCAATGGGGAGCTAGATGGGCCAGCAGATTCCCGTGTTCCTTCCTAGTAGGTAAGATAATAATAATAATAATAATAATAATAATAATAATAATAATAATAATTATTTATTATTTATACCCCGCCCATCTGGCTGGGTTTCCCCAGCCACTCTGGGACGGCTTCCAAAAGAATATTAAAATACTGTGATACATCAAACATTAAAAGCTTCCCTAAACAGGGCTGCCTTCAGATGTCTTCTAAAAGTCTGGTAGTTGTTGTTCTCTTTGACATCTGGTGGGAGGGCGTTCCACAGGGAGGGCGCCACTACCGAGAAGGCCCTCTGCCTGGTTCCCTGTAACTTGGCTTCTCGCAGTGAGGGAACCGCCAGAAGGCCCTCGGTGCTGGACCTCAGTGTCCGGGTAGAACGATGGAGGTGGAGACGCTCCTTCAGGTATACTGGACCGAGGCCGTTTAGGGCTTTAAAGGTCAGCACCAACACTTTGAATTGTGCTCGGAAACGTACTGGGAGCCAATGTAGGTCTTTCAAGACCGGTGTTATATGGTCTCGGCGGCCGTTCCCAGTCACCAGTCTGGCTGCTGCATTCTGGATTAGTTGTAGTTTCCGGGTCACCTTCAAAGGTAGCCCCACGTAGAGCGCATTGCAGTAGTCCAAGCGGGAGATAACCAGAGCATGCACCACTCTGGCGAGGCAGTCCGCGGGCAGATAGGGTCTCAGCCTACGTACCAGATGGAGCTGGTACACAGCTGCCCTGGACACGGATTTAACCTGTGCCTCCATGGACAGCTGTGAGTCCAAAATGACTCCCAGGCTGCGCACCTGGTCCTTCAGGGGCACGGTTACCCCATTCAGGACCAGGGAATCCTCCACACCTGCCCGCCTCCTGTCCCCCAGAAACAGTACTTCTGTCTTGTCAGGATTCAATCTCAATCTGTTTGCCGCCATCCATCCTCCAACCGCCTCCAGACACTCACTACAGGACCATCACCGCCTTCACTGGTTCTGATTTGAAAGAAAGGTAGAGCTGGGTATCATCTGCATACTGATGAACACCCAGCCCAAACCCCCTGATGATCTCTCCCAGCGGCTGCATGTAGATGTTGAAAAGCATAGGGGAGAGGACAGAACCCTGAGGCACCCCACAAGTGAGAGCCCAGGGGTCTGAACACTCATCCCCCACCACCACTTTCTGAACACGGCCCAGGAGGAAGGAGCGGAACCACTGTATGACAGTACCCCCAGCTCCCAGCCCCTCAAGACGGTCCAGAAGGATGTTATGGTCGATGGTATCAAATGCCGCTGATTCCACGAAGGGTCTTCTTTCTCCCTAGGAGAGAGACTACGGACTTCCGGACATTCACTCGTGTGCTGGCCCACTTCCGGCCAGTGGAAGGACCCGGAGGCTCGCAGAACGCCAACAGCCGGCTTAGCAAGCTGAAGTGTGAGTGGACATACAATGGGTGTTCCAGGGGAAACAACTACAGGAAGGTGTCAAGAAGTACCCCATGTAGCTGTAAGGGCTAGAGGCTTGGTTGATTTCATTTAAATGAAAACCGAAACACAGAGTTCTGCAGTCACTGCCAAGTTCCCCAGTTATGCTGTGCGGTAACAAAAGCACAGCATGCACCTACAACAGGGGCGCTTAATGTCCACCCTTAAGCTGGACAGATCTGTGGGCCGGCAGCACAACACGGTTTCTCGCCCTAAACCTTCCCCATTGCTAACCTCCCCCCCCTATTGTTCTGGTTCCTGTTCAGTTGCTTTTCAGCTCTACGACCAAGACAAGGATGGGAAGATCTCCCGAGCAGAAATATTACAGGTAACTCTTGCAAACAACTGGGGAAAGCTGCAGGGGTGGGGAAGGGATGTGCGTATGAAGAATTAAAATCAGGGAGGGGCAGTGCATTTAAATATGTTACCCAAAGGCAAGGCTGCCTGCCTGCCCCCAAATATATCCTGCCCCCTAAACCTCAATGGAGGAGGAGAGCTGGCGTCACCCTGACCAAAGGAATCTGCTCTCTACATGCTTAGAAGCACTTTTTTAAATTCACATGTACCAGGCTAGAAACGTCTTGGGCTCAAAGCTGACTGTTGGAAGATTCACGAAGGATAAAAGAAAGAACTTATTCATGCAGCGCATAGTTGAACTGTGGAACTCACTGCCACTGGAGACAGTGACGGCCACCTGCTTGGATGGCTTTAAAAGAGGAGAGGACAAATTCACAGAGTGCAAGGCTGTCCTTGGCTACTAACGATGATGGCTATGCACTGCCTCCATGGTCAGAGGCCATAATGATTCTGAATACCAGTTGCTAGAGGTGGTGCTGTGGTCTAAACCACTGAGCCTCTTGGGCTTGCCGATCAGAAGGTCGGCAGTTCGAATCCCTGCGACGGGGTGAGCTCCCGTCGCTCTGTCCCTGATCCTGCCAACCTAGCAGATCGAAAGCACCTCAAAGTGCAAGTAGATAAATAGGTACCACTCCGGCGGGAAGGGAAACGGTGTTTTGGTGCGCTGCTCTGTTTCGCCAGAAGCGGCATAGTCATGTTGGCCACATGACCCGGAAGCTGTACGCCGGCTCCCTCGGCCAGTAAAGCGAGATGAGACCGCAACCCCAGAGTCGGCCACGACTGGACCTAACGGTCAGGGGTCCCTTGACCTTTACCAGTTGCTAGGAATCACAGATGGGGAGAGCTGCTCTTGTGCTTGAATCCTGCTTTCAGGTTTCCCACTGATTGGCATCTGGTTGGCCACTCAGAGAACAGGATGCTGGACTATCCAAGCCATTGGCCTGATCCAACAGGCTCTTCTTACGTTGTGAAGCTCACAAGTGATTATCATGCCAGGAACCCCAGGAAATTTATCCAAGGACATCGGTGCAGAAGCACGCCCATGTTTGTGCTCCAGCCGTCAGCAGAGCAAAGCTTTAGTCCCTCATCTTGATGAAGGCGGAGGAATAGGGAGAAGCAGCGCCCTTAAGAACCCCTCATCTCTCTGGCTACCCCTCTTCCCCAACCCCCAGGTGCTGAGAATGATGATTGGGATCGAGGTGACGGATGAGCAACTCGAGAGCATCACAGACCGAACCATCCAAGAGGCCGATAAGGACGGAGACAACGCCATCTCCTTTGAGGAGTTTGCAAAGGTCTGGGATAGGGCAGGTTCTTCCACACTGGCCATTCCCAGATTAGTGCCCTCCAGATGTTTGGGCCTCCAACTCCCATCAGCCCCCAGATGGGAGGAGAACCAAAACATCTGGAGTGGGACAAGGTTGAGGAAGGCTGGTCTATACACTGCAGAGATATGGACCCTGAGGAACGTAAGATTAATTTCCAGTAATTTTTTTTAAAAAGCCAAAGATATCAGACAAGTGGATCTGTGTCTTCAAGGCAGCCATAGCCCAGGTGTGGAGAACCTCAGGCCTGGGGGCTGAATTTATCCCTCCACACCCTTCTATCTGTCCCTCAGGACTCTACCCAGAACGCTCCATCCTCTCTCCCCAGGCTACACACACACACACACACACACACACACACACACACGTGTCCTCTGAACTCTGCTTGCCTGGATGGCAGAGATGGTTGTGGGAATGTGTGCCATGTAGAAGCTGTCCCACAAAGGTAATATTTACATTTATTGCCGCACCCAAGACATCATGTGATCCCCAGAAGATTGCCCAGGAGGGGGCCAGAAGATTGGCTGAAGGCGGGGAAGGGAGGGTATAAATAAAATTTATTTATTTATTTATTTATTTATTTATTTATTTATTTATTATTATATTATTGAGGTCCCCCACCCCTACACTAACCCCTTGTGGACACTCGGCTCCTTAACCCCTGAGTGGTGCTTGGTCCTGGTTTCCCCACTCTGTTTGCTATTTATTAAGAGATTTATAAACTGCTCTTCCTCTAAGACACCAGGGTGGTGAACAGTGATGAGGCACCTTCTCAGAGGTACACACTGAATTATCCATCAGTCACATTTTCCAGGACTGGGGTTCCAGCCATAAAAAGCAGTTCTAGGTCTGAGAAAAGCTAAAAAGCCCCAGTAAAGCATGCGCGCGCGCGCACACACACACACACACACACACATATATGTATGTATGTATGTATGTATGTATGTATGTATGTAACGCCAATCTTCTTCACTTTGTTTTGCAGTCTGTGGAAAAGCTGAACATTGAACAGAAGATGAGCCTCCGGATCCTGAAGTGATCCATCAGGGACCAGAGAAACCCCTGACAACTTGGGAAATGAACAAGCCTGGCTCCTGGCAGCAAAGGATGCAGTTGCAAAAACATGTGGGATACTGTCGGATCTCAGCTCTGCTCCCGATGGGCCGCAAAGAAACCAAATTAGAGATCTCCATCTAACAAAGATCCCTCACTGACAACAAGATGGGATCAAGAGCTGCTGACCAACAGAGGCCTGCCATTCCATCTGCCGTGTCTAAACAGACCTCCATGACAATATTTCAACTAGAAGCGGCACTACCTTTTCCCCATTTTCTGAGAAGCTGTGCACTCCCTACCCCATGCACTGAAATACACATCAAACCAGATTTTCTTTTCCTTAACAGGAGGGTGCAGAAAGCAACTCTGGCACCTTCCCCTCCCCATTCATTGCAAGCGAGCCCAAAGCCATAACCTTGTAGAGAAACTGTGGCGCATCATGCAAATGATTACTTCCTTTGGAAAAGCCCCCAATAGCATGGGGGGCATGGGAAAGAGGAGTTCATACTTTTGTGACCTCCCCTCCTTTTACAAAAAGCTTCACAAAGGCAGTAGAATTTAATGCTGCCAGACAGCAAACAAACGAGTCAGAATTCATTTCCGGGAGATTTGATTTCAAGGTTTCATCGAAAAGGTAATACAAACTGGAACTGTGGCACTGGTATCTGAAAACCTCTTTGGGAGTTATCGTTCTTCGATCGCATTTTCATTCATTAAAAGATACGCAGATTGCATCCACACAAAGCTAGAAGTGGTTTTAAATTATCTGCCCTATTTTATTTCCATTCTTGCATTCTGCAGCTATGTAGTAAGTACTGTATTTTTTGCTCTATAAGACACACCAGACCACAAACGCACCTAGTTTTTGGAGGAGGAAAACAAGAAAAAAAATATTCTGAAACTCAGAAGCCAGAACAGCAAGAGGGATCGCTGTGCAGTGAAAGCAGCAATCCCTCTTGCTGTTCTGGCTTCTGGGATAGCTGCGCAGCCTGCATTCGCTCCATAAGACGCACACACATTTCCCCTTACTTTTTAGGAGGGAAAAAGTGAGTCTTATAGAGCAAAAAATACGGTATGTAGGATGCTGCCTTGTACCAGGTCAAGTTTCTTCTCTTCTCTGGCTAGCAGCGGCTCTCGGGGAATGGGGAGGACGGGGACGTGTCTCACGCAGAAAAGGTTCTTTCCTGTCCCAAAGTACCCGATGCTTTGGGTTGAAGCAACTCCCCTAGGAGGAAAGGTTTCAGCTCTGGGGCTTTTAGAGCCAAAGGAAGAGGTGATGTAACAGAGGTGTATAACATTATGAACAGCACAGCGAACGAGGAAAGAAAGAAGTTTTTCCTCCCTCTCTTGTACAGTGGTACCTCGGGTTACATACACTTCAGGTTACAGATGCTTCAGGTTACAGACTCTGCTAACCCAGAAATATTACCTTGGGTTAAGAACTTTGGTTCAGGATGAGAACAGAAATCGTGCAGCGGCGGCAGCGGGAGGCCCCATTAGCTAAAGTGGTACCTCTGGTTAAGAACAGCCCTCCAGAACGAATTAAGTTCTTAACCCAAGGTACCACTGTAATCCTAAAAGCTGAATGTTGGAAGATATGGGACAGAAAAAAGAAAGGATCTCTTTACACAGCAGACAGTTAAACTGCAGTAGAAGGAAGGGGTGACCACCAACCTACATGGTTTTAAGAGAGGATTTGATAATTTCATGGAGAATAAGACTATCAATGGCTGGTAGCTGTGATGGTTATTCTCTGTCTCCACAGTTATGCCTCTGAATATCAGTTTCTGGAAAGGGAAGGGTGTTCTTGTGACCACATCCTGCTTGCAGGTTTCCCACAGCCAACGGGTTGGCTATTATTAGAACTGGGTGCTGGACTAAATGGGCCACTGGCCTGATCCAGCAGGCTCTTTTCGCGCGTTTAAGGGATGTCCTGCCAGCTTGGGACCTTCTGCATGCAGAACAAGGGTGGCTCTGCCACTGAGCTAGACGTCTCCCTCTCTCCTTTATGTTTCCTACATCTTTGCTGCTCTTGGTCTGTTGTTGTTTGTTGTTTAGTCGTTTAGTCGTTTAGTCGTGTCCAACTCTTAACTCCATGGACCAGAACATGCCAGGCACTCCTGACTTCCACTGCCTCCCACAGTTTGGTCAAACTCATGCTGGTAGCTTCGAGAACATTGTCCCACCATCTCGTCCTCTGTCGTCCCCTTCTCCTTGTGCCCTCCATCTTTCCCAACACCAGGGTCTTTTCCAGGGAGTCTTCTCTTCTCATGAGGTGGCCAAAGTCTTGGAGCCTCAGCTTCAGGATCTGTCCTTCCAGTGAGCACTCAGGGCTGATTTCCTTCAGAATGGAGAGGTTGGATCTTCTTGCAGTCCATGGGACTCTCAAGAGTCTCCTCCAGCACCAGAATTCAAAAGCATCCATTCTTCGGCGATCAGCCTTCTTGATGGTCCAGCTCTCACTACCATACATCACTACTGGGAAAACCAGAGCTTTTACTATACGGACCTTTGTTGGCAAGGTGATGTCTCTGCTTTTTAAGATGCTGTCCAGGTTTGTCATTGCTTTTCTCCCATGAAGCAGGGGTCTTGGTCTGCTCGCTGCATTTATACACTTTCTCCTTTCCGGATCAGCATACTGATCTTAGGATCAGGCCCAGCTCAGGCATTGTAAAAAAAGGAACAAGACAATTGAGAAATATGCACAGACGCAGCTAGAGCCCCTTCTTCATATGCTTTGCTGAGCTACAGAAAAATAGGTGGTGTGGGGTTTGGGGGGGGGCTTGCAGTTGAGAATCTTGTGCAGGGAGAAGGAAGGTATCCTGACAGACAGAAAAAGGGGTCTCAAATGATACTAGGGGGCAGCATGTTAAAGATAACACAAACCTCTTTTATCTGGTACTAACTGTTGCCAGAGCAAATACTTTTATATGCAAAGAGCCCCACATGTCAGCTGCTGGTCAGGAGACGTGGGATAAACAGCAACTACACAAAGTATTCATGGTATGCTCTGGTACAAATCATGCAAAAATTTGCTGGGGCATACATTTCCCCGAGAGAGTTCCTCGTGTCAGGCAAGAACTCAGATCTTTGTCTCATTAAGAGGCCAAAACATCTCCCCTCCCTGAACTGTTGCAGCCTTTCTGGAAAGCTGGGCACAGAATTATAAATTTTTGATGACACCATTAGCAGAGGTCCATCTTTTGTTCTCCGTTAGCAAATCTGCAGCCAAATCCAACTCGGGAGACAAAACTTGAGAAAGCCTGCATCGTCCAAGCAATGGCCCAACTGTCCTGCAGGCAAGAATCGCACCTCTCGCCCCAAAGCACACTAATGTGTGCGTGTGTGCAGCACACACACACCCTTTACATCACTGTAACATTTGAGAAATACCTCAATACAAGATCGTACCTCTGTAAAGGTAAAGGTAAAGGTACCCCTGCCCGTACGGGCCAGTCTTGACAGACTCTAGGGTTGTGCGCCCATCTCACTCAAGAGGCCGGGGGCCAGCGCTGTCCGGAGACGCTTCCGGGTCACGTGGCCAGCGTGACATCGCTGCTCTGGCGAGCCAGAGCCGCACACGGAAATGCCGTTTACCTTCCCGCTAGTAAGCGGTCCCTATTTATCTACTTGCACCCGGGAGTGCTTTCGAACTGCTAGGTTGACAGGCGCTGGGACCGAACAATGGGAGCGCACCCCGCCGCGGGGATTCGAACCTCTGTACTCCATGCTAATGAATGTGGGTAGTCTATCACTCCCTGTTTCTGTATGGAGTCATTAAATGCAGATCACAACCACTCATAAACATGCCCTGAAGCTCCACCCTGCGAGGGACCATGACAGAATGTGAAGCCCTATTAAGCCATATTCATGACACGCCAGTATTTGCCCCGTATTTCCCCTTCAAGCCCACAGGCGCCCAGCCGACCCACCCCTGCCCTGCTACCCCCTCCATTTCTCCTGCAGGGACCCCTCCTCCCTCTTTGCAGATCCAGCCCTCCCCCTGCAAGATTAAAGATACCAGGCAGCCAGTCCTCCCTGCATCATCAGATGATGTCATCTCCAACAGCTGGCCAATAGGGGAGCCCCCAGCTGGGAGCATCTCTGCTGCAAGACAGGAGGGCTGGGGAGGGAGCAAAAGCAGCTGCTGGGGGAAACTGGGGGGGGCAGGGAGGGTCGGGTGGGGAGCTCCTTTGTTTCTCTTCCCTTTGAGGCAGCAATCCCGCTGCTCTGTGGCTCCAACCTGGACACTCCTCCTCGGGCGGCTGGCTTTGACATTGCAGGTCCTAAGATATCCACCTGCGGCAGGAGCTTGTTCATCGTTCTCCAGCAGCGGATACTTCAGAAAAGGACTGGTCTCCCTCTGATTCTCTAAAAGAAGACTCTCTGCCTCTGCAGAGCAACTGGACTGCACCTGCTTCAGCTAGGAAAACACAGAAGCCGAGGCCGCAGGGAAGGTACATTTCCTCTCATCAACCTTCGTATCAGCATCATATTACCTTTATTCCAGAGCAGGGAGCTAAATGAGGGTGGGGGTGGGGAAGGGAGGAACAAGAAGGGAACGGAAACCCCTCTTTCTCAAGCAGGGTGGGTTTCCAGGAAGGAGCATGCAGAAGAAACTGGGAGACATTTTACTGCATAGCTACCAGCTTGCGAGGTATAAGCCAGCCAAAGGCTTCCAGCAGGCAGATTAAGGGAATGAAGTGTGTTTCTGTGGATGTGAATGGATATGCCAGCAACGTTGCTGGCCTTCTTTCAAGAGACGTCATTTTTAAATTAGATTTGGGACTCGTTTTTATTGTGGGGGGGCAGGGAGGTAGAGTCAGAAATAAATCTTTTTGCAGATCCATATCCAGCGGTGCACAGTATGAATTGCAAACATCCGCTGAAACACTCCCCCAAGTTAACCGGGGGGGGGTGTTCCCAGTTTTTGACAAATCTGAACATCTCTGTCAGATTTATGTCCCCCCAAACTGAAAAGTCCCCGGCCTGACCAAAAATCTCCTTCACATGTTTCTATCCTACCCCCCCCCCAAAAAAAAGATTTTGCCTTTAAAAGACTGTGGAGTCTCAGCAAACTGTCAACTTGCCATGATTTCTTTTCTTAGCTATGGCAGAAGAATTACGGCATCACCACCAATCCTACATTGTATTTCAGTAAACACTGGCCGTTTGCATGGATGTAAAACAAGGAGTAACTCAGGTTAAACACGGAAGAGAAGTCGGTGTCTTAACAGTGAAAATGACACAGCCCAGTAACAACTTTGTGCATATCTGAATCAAACTGGTCTGATAGTTTTTGCTCTTCCTAGGGAGGGTTCCCTGGGAACTGTAGTTCTGTGACAGGGGGTGGGATGGCTACGGAACTCTGCCTGCTATTGCAGCGGACTACCATTCCCATAATCCTTTGAGGGAAGCCATGACAGTTAACACTGTTATAAAACTATTACGGTTTGTTGTTGTTCAGAGAGGCCCTTGGAGAGTAGCCATGTATTGTGGGGAGGACGTTTCGTAGGCATGAGCCAGCTTCACCCATCCCACGCACAATGGGAATGGAAACAAGACCTAATTTGAGCCAGGGCTGATCCAGGAAGAAGCTTCTGTGCAGACTGCCTTTCCCTCACCTGCACATCAGGAAGGAATTAAGAGGATGGGCTCATGATGCTAATTGAGGAGTGGAACTGAGAAAGCCAAAGGCAGGTGAAAGCAGAGGCAGGAAAAACCACAGGACAGGGCACATTAAC